TGAGTCCGTCGAGTTTCAATCGGCACTTGGTGGAAGAAATTGCGCGGCATTTTCGCCGCCATGTTCGTTACGTCTCGCTCCATTTTTTTCGAAATGTCTGTGAAGTTGGTTTTTCGAATCAGAATAATTTTCTGATTTTTTAGAAAATCTAAGCGACGCGAGAAAGATTCTTCGCCACGACGACGGCGAGTGATCCGCGTTATCGGGAGTGCCGAGTAAAGTTCCGCGCGATCGCGGAATGTTAATCAATATCGTGATTAATTAACCGAGTTGCTCGTCATCATTCAATCGCGGAGTTCAAGACAGAGACAGCGGCACCAATTTCGCCGTCATGTTGGTCGTAAGATTTTTGTACGAGACGTTACTCCGACTCGTAAGTCGCTCTATTCTTTCAAATCGGTATAATTTCCCGATTTTACAGAAATCCTCGCGACGTAAGAATAGATTTTCCGCCGCATTATCGAAAGTGTCGAGTGTATCGAGTGTAATTCGACCGCGAGGTGCTAATCGATATCCGCAATCGCGATCGATTGAGTTGCCCGTCTCGGCAACTTTCAATCGAGGGCGGAGTGGTCGCGGCCGGTTGCGCGCCACTTTGGCCGCCATGTTAATCGTACATCGGAGTTCACGCATCTTCTGAATCGGAGTGACGTGAAGAAGATTCCCTGCCACGACGGCGGCGAGTGATCTACGTTATTGTGAGTGTCGAGAAAAGTTCCGCGCGATTGCGTCCCACCTGTCCTGTCCGTTCACTTGTGGAGGGCCTGCAGCAATCCTTACGTAAGTGCCTAATATTCATTTCATATATAAAATTATCAAATTCGTTGGAGGTGAAACATGTGCCTCTGCAAGGCCATAGCCAGAAAAAAATTTGGGGGGGAGGGTCCAGTGGTATCGACTCGGCGAACTAAGGAGTATATGTGTAGCCCATTCCAAAATTGAGAGAGAGATACGCGAGTTTGAAGTTTTTTGTGAAAATTTGTTCTTAAACAAATTTTGACAGTACTTTTTGACCAGACCGTCGTAATTATTCGATAGATCTATTAAAAAATTTAATCAGAACGAGAATGCGTATTAAGTTCTCTTTATAAAATTGGCGTTTGGCTCAACTTAGAATTTAAAAAAGCCATAAATTTGTTTAAAACAGTACTTATTTCTGGAAAATAAATATTTTTTTAGTAAGAAAAAATTACG